GATGACTTCTACAAGTATACTGAATGAGGACAAGCAATAACAGAGTTCAGCCGACCACAAGAAGGCAACACACTTTTCAAATCTGGACTTCAAGGTAAATACCACTTGGTATTGCTGAAATAGCCCTTTTTACAAACACAGTGTGGGCAATAGAGACAACCCCACTGTCAAAAAAGAGAAAAGGCCTCAAGAACAATTTGTACAACCCCCAAAAAACAGCCAAATATAAGTAATAATCCACAACCTTGTTACAAGGATGTGACAGTCCAAGTTTCGGCAGTTTTGACAGTCCAAGGAGTGAAAAAACAGCCCARAAATTTCTGGGTTAAACCAGATTCAATGGCAGCCAAAGGTAGTACAGAACAACCAGAGTTTTCGGACACTTCAACAGTCCAAACATAGCCGAGAGTAATACAGAACAACTAGAGATTTTTCAGACACTTCAACAGTCCAAACACAGTCGAAAGTAATACAGAACAACTAGAAAACTGGGCACAACTTACAGTTCGAGCTTCAAAACAGAATTGAGCACAACTTACAGTTCGAGCTTCAAAACAGAATTGAACACAACTTACAGTTCCTTCCTTTTTTTTTTTCTCTGATTCTTCCTGGCCACCGAACTACTTCTCCAAGAGATTCAAGTCTTGGGCACTTCCAATGACCTCCAAGAATCAGGCAATACGAGCCTAAGCTTCCAGCCCTAGAATATTGAAGTTCGGGTATACTCTGATACCATGAAGAAAACTGAAGAGAGGAGAGCTTGAGAGTTTGGCAATGAGGGTCTGAGAATGAGAGTTTCGAGCCTACACTCTCTCAGCACCCTAACACTATTTTATTAAGATATATTTGAATAATTACAAAGAGGCCCTTAGTTGGGCAAGAATTTACAAAGAACTTAATATAGATAGGATGGGCCCAGAATAAGGCCCATTACAGAAAAACATAAATAACAAGAAAGAACAAGCAACCTATGGGCCATTCGGCCCATCTTCTCTACAACGTTCATAGGCGGGTAACTTAAGGTGGCGGTCGGCCAGGTTGCGACTGAAGAAGGCTACCGGGTGCCCTTGCTACTGTAGTATCGCGTCGATGCCGGTGCCGGATGCATCGCATTCTACTGTGAACTCGAGATCAAAGTTTGGTAACTGTAGAACCGGCGTGGAGGAGAGGGCTTCTCTTAAATTTACAAAGGCCTCATCGGCTGTACTATCCCAGTGGAAGGCATTTTTCTTGAGCAGATTGGTTAGTGGGGCCGCCAAAAGTCCATAATTTTGTACGAACTTGCGGTAGTAACCTGTCAGCCCTAGGAACCCGCGGAGAGCCTTGGCGAATTGTGGTCTGGGCCATTCTTTGATTGCCTGAATCTTGGAGTCATCCATAGTGACCCCTTGCCCACTAATCACATGTCCTAAGTAAAGGACCCGGCGTTCCCCAAAGGAGCATTTGGATCGCTTAAGGACGAGTTGGTGTTGCTGCAGGAGTTCAAGAACGACCGGTAGATGCTGCATGTGTTCTACCCACGACTTGCTATAGACTAGGATGTTGTCAAAGAATACCAAGACGAATCTGTGGAAGTGGGAGTGGAACACCTCGTTCATCAGGGCCTGGAATGTGGAGGGAGCATTGCTGAGGCCGAATGGCATAACCAAGAATTCAAAATGGCCATTATGTGTTCTGAAGGCTGTTTTCTCTACATCTTCGGGAGTCATTCGGACCTGGAAGTAACCCAACCGGAGGTCTAATTTTGAGAAGTATTGTGCACCATGGAGCTCGTCCAATAGCTCATCTACAACGGGAATAGGAAATTTATCCTTGACCGTCCGGCTGTTAAGTTCTCTGTAGTCCACACAAAATCTCCAAGTCCCATCTTGCTTGGGTACCAACAGAACCGGAGATGAGAAGGGGGAGCGGCTGGGACGGATGATCCCCTACTGTAACATGTCCCCGCACTGTCTTTCTATTTCATCTTTCTGTTGGTGTGGGTAGCGATAGGGTCAGACGACAACGGGACCCGATCCGGCTATTAGAGGGATCCGATGATTGCAGGCTTTGGAAGGTGGGAGCCCCTTGGGTTCTT